ATATATATATATATAACATGAGAGAATGACTACAGTTTGATGAGGGAAAAAGTGAGAAACAGAAAAGCAACAAAAAAAAGGGTATAAGAGAAAAAAAGAGGTACAATCATTACGCTTTCTAAAGGAGAGGAGGAGAAAGTGGCTTTCTTTTTTTTTTCTCTTCTTCTCTTTTTCAGAGCGAATATAATATGGATATGGTTATTTCATTTTTGCTTTCTTTGTTCTTGTTTTCTTCTTTTTCCCCATGAGTTTCCATGTGAAGACGTGGGTATGCAGTTAATCGTTTTTCTTTTCTTTTTTCCTTTTTCTTTTCTTTTCTTTTCTTTTCTTCTATATTTACCCTCCCCCCTTTTCTTCCCCCGTATTTTTCCTGCTTAAGTGGGATTTCCCGCAAAAGCGAATTTTGGTGATTTCTTCTTTTTACTCGTCTCTCTATCATTTTCACTCAATTAAGTTTTTATTCTTTCCTTGCTTGTGTGTGTGTGTGTATGTTTTTCGCTTTATTTCCTCTGTATGTGCAGTCTTTCATTCTGCTCCCTTTCCTTTCCTCTTAAGAGGTGTATATATATATATATGCTATTATTATTATTATTATTATTATTATTATTATTATTATTATTATTATTGCTTCTATTAGTTGTGTTGGTGAGAAAATGAAGCTGTGGGTGGTGCTCTGTGTCAGTCATCAACTGTGTTTACCGCAAGAGTAATAGTAGTAAAAAGAAAAAGAAAGAAAGAACGGAATTCATCGTAAGGGACAGTTTTGAATGCTGAGGCATACGAGAAATAAAGTAGAAAGACAATACAAATAATGGAAATAATAATGAGAAGAAGACTAAAAGCCATATATATATATAAGAGACGCAGTTATGTATATGTATTTCTAATGCGAGGGGTGGGGAGTGGTGTTGGGGGCGAAAAGAAAAAGAAAAAAAAAAAACGGGAATACGCACGCCAATAGTGTTAAGGATTGAAGGAATTACTGGATTGCAAAGATGAGAAGAAAAAAAAAAGAAGAAGTGATGAGGAAAGGGTATTTGTGTCTTTTGACGCAGGAAGAGTAAGAATCAAAATCCATGACAGTAACTAAGGGAATTTTGTTTTTTTTTTCGTAAATTCTCTTTTTTTTTTTCTGTTCGGTCTTGCATTTCTGCTGTGGCTTTTTCACAGTTTTTTTTTTCTTGTCTGTCCATCATTCTCACTGTGTGTGCGTGTGTGTTCTTCTGTTTTTTTTTTCTTTTTCTTTTTCTTTTTCTCTATATCTTTTACAGGAACACGTACAAGCTATTTTGATTTGCCGTTCTCTGTGAAGATGATGAAGAGAAAGAAAAAAGGGACAAAGAAAACATTATTGGAAATAGTTTCTGATATTTCTTTTTCCATGTTGTTGTGTTTTTGTTCTCTGAAGCTTCTCGGTGAAATCTCGTTGTTTTTTGTTGCCGGTGTTCAAATATTTATGGGTATCATCTTGTCTCGGTGCTGACGGTTTCACGCGAGAAACACCAACTCCCATACTCAATACATGCGTTTGTTTTTATATATATATATAATCGACGTTTTTTTTTTTTTTCTTTGATACTATTGATATTATTATTATTATTATTTTTTTTTTTTTTCATGGTATTGATTTAATTGTTGTATTGTTTATATTTATTTCTTCTTTATGCACTTCTTATTTCTTTCCCCCTTTTTTTTTTTTTATCTTTACCTGTATTTTTCTCTCTCTGTGTAGAGAATACTAGATATCTAGCAGCAGGTGTGTAAAACACCCAGACGGGAACACCGAAAAAAAAAAAAAGAGGTTGAGGAGTAACTCTCTGGGTGAGTCTGAGTACATAGGTAGGTAAGTGAAGGAAAACGAAACAGAGAAGTAAAGAGGAGAAGAAACAAGAAGAAGAAAAATATATTAAAGGAAGAAAGCAACTAACTGTCTATACCCGCAAGGCGACGATCGCATGTCCAAGACCCTTCCGCCCATCAAGTCGGCCACCCGCGGACGTGAAGGAGCCAACAGCGCGAGTCTTTACAACAACAACAACAACAACAACCACACGCCCCGCGATGGCAGCAGCTATCAGTTGACAAAGTCCTCTACTCCGGTGACGGCCGGCAACACGCCCAGACACCGCAGTTCGCAGCAGCAGCGGTCCACCAGCCGCCGCCGCTACGGTGCGGAGGTGGAGTTCTCCCTCGGCCCCGTGCAGGAGCGCTATCTCCCGCCCTACAACGACCTCGAGGACCCGCACCTCGCGCCCTACTGGGCCCGCCGGGAAATGCTCATCCGGGAGCTGGCCGAGCGGCGGCGGGAAATGCAGCGGCAGCGGCGGATTGAGCGCCACCGCCGCGAGACCGCACGGCGGCGATTTGAGGAACGCCGGCAACGGGAACTGGAGGAACTTTCATCACGAAAGGGATACCAGTCGCAGCGTCGACGCGAAGAGGAGGAGAACAATCATAACACGGACGATGATGATGATTACCAAAATCATTACCAGTATCAGCAACGACAACAAAACTCCGCACGCGGACGCCGTCCTCACCCACCGTCGAGCAGGTCCAACACTGGTGGCGCAAGTAACACCAGAAGAGCCCCACGCCGCAACTATGAGAGTGCTGCAACAGGAAGAAAATCAACTCCACTCGTCCCTAATGCCGCAGATACGAGGGAGGAAGCCGCTCCAGCTTCCAAGAGGAATTCATCGCGATCTCCATCGAAACATTCACAACGTGGATCCTCGGTAGAAAAGAACCAGAAAGAAGAAGTGAAAAAGACGGAGGAGGTAAAACCTGTTGTGACTCACGTACCTACCGGATCCTATTCATCCTCCAGATCATCTTCATCCTCTTCCTCTTACCATGAACAGGTCAAAGAACAAGTAAAGAAAGAGGAATCCGTGGAAACACCGACTGGAACCAAAAAGAATACTACTAGCAACTCATCTTCGTCATCATCATCCTTCGCATCATCTCATGACAATGATCGTAAGGGTCAGGAAAGCAAGGGGACACAGAAAGAGGACCCGTATGAGAAGGAACTCTCAGAGAAGGATGACTACGATAATGATGAATTTGAGGCATCTGCATCCTCTGTAAAGAAGGAGGAAGAGTCCGCTAAGGACGTCCACGGCGAAAGTCCTGAATACCCTAAGGAGGAGGAGAAGAAGGATGACTACGACGATGAGTTTGAGGCATCTGTATCCTCTGAGAAGAAGGAGGAAGAGTCTGCTAAGGACGTCCACGGCGAAAGTCCTGAATACCCTAAGGAGGAGAAGAAGGATGACTACGATGATGATGAATTTGAGGCATCTGCATCCTCTGAAAAGAAGGAGGAGGAGTCTGCTAAGGACGTCCACGGCGAAAGTCCTGAATACCCCAAAGAGGAGGAGAAGAAGGATGACTACGATGATGATGAATTTGAGGCATCTGTATCCTCTGAGAAGAAGGAGGAAGAGTCCGCTAAGGACGTCCACGGCGAAAGTCCTGAATACCCCAAAGAGGAGGAGAAGAAGGATGACTACGATGATGATGAATTTGAGGCATCTGTATCCTCTGAGAAGAAGGAAGAGTCCGTTGGGGCACTCCATGCTGAGGGTATCGAGACTCCTAAGGAAGAGTCTGTTGGGGCACTTCATGCAGAGGGTACTGAGACTCCCAAGGCAGAGTCCGTTGGAGCACTCCATGCAGAGGGTATCGAGACTCCCAAGGCAGAGTCCGTTGG